AGGAGTGAAAGAGATGCCATGAACCGGTGTTTAACACATCATGAATGTGACTATTAATTAAATATATTATTATATTATTATTTTTAAGAAATCTAAGTATTTATTTATATTGTAAAATTTAAAATTATATCTGTGATAGCGAATGTCAAACATGAGGATGCAGTGCAACGGGGAGTTCGTGAACAAGGTGTAGGTGGGATACCAGACCAAACCAGACCAGACCAGACGGACCTGGCAAGGAAAGCACAAAGCAACGTGGGCGCTGTATTTATGTGGGTAACTGATGTACTTACCAGTTAGGCCTGAATCCTGTCTCCATTGGTCTGTTCTGCTGCTATGTATCATGGCTTTATTCCTTAATTCCCTCCCTGGAATAGGGTGGAGTGAACAGCAACCGTCACATTTTTTTTATTGAAAAGCTTTTTTTTTTTTGTTACCCTGCATTCTCGAATTGACTCTCTATGTGTTTGCATAAGCCTTTTTTGAGGGCTCTTGAAATTCCTTTTTTCATTTATCATCCCATAAGCCCGACGGAAGTAATATTGGGGTGAGTGTCTCGATCTTTTGTTGGCAGATGGACCGTTTATGCTGTTCTACTGCTGCTGGGGTCCGATTCCAGATTCTTGCAGAATAACTGTCTTCCCGCTCTCCTCCCCCCCACCCCCCAGGCTCACACACACACAAATACAGAAACACAATGCGGTCTTGGCGTGACTGTAGCATACCCGCAAATATATTTTTTATAATAAGGGCCTCGTTCGACACCACTACAAAAACCTTACATGTAAGGTTTTCATCATTCCACCCCTCCCTAATGACAAAGAAAAAGAAGTCGAACTTGTTTTCACATTCGCGGCCGTAAGGGCGGGCCCTACAAAAGTAAGGACTCCGCAGCCAAAACGGACCTTGACGTAAGGACGCCCGTGGAGGTGACTTGAAAGTAGGGGGTGGCACCCTTACATCCGCGAAAAAACCGTTTGTTTTGTTTTGTTCTTTTTTTTTTACGTCAGGTGTTTGGTGTCTGTTCCTGGTCGAACGGCGGTCTTGTCCGCTAGACCATGGGACAGCAGGCCCACGGCAACCTCCAAAGGTCATGTGGTGCTGTTGCGGTTGCCCCTGCATTCCCTCCACCGGGGCGTTTCGGCTGGCGTTTGAAGGCGCCGGTTGCAGGGTTCCGTGCGGAGGCGGGTGAGATGACCGTTGGCGGGGACGTTCGAATTGGAGCGCGGGATGTTGACGGCGCCCATCGGTCCTCACGCCCTTCCTCCGTCGGTCGTCACGTGTGCTCCCGTATATTGCAGCCCTTTGTCCTGTTCGAAAGGTGCCAGCTCCATTCCTTGTACTTTAGGGGATGAGCGCATGGCTGACATGGTGAGGAAGACGGCTCTATTCATTTTCCTGCTTGGGGCGTTGGCATTGGTGATCATTCTGCACATGTGGCGACTGGCCGGCAATTGCAGCCGACATGGAAGGAGGAGGGGTTCGAAGAAGCTTCGACAGGCTGCTTCGGTGAGCACAGGCATGGGCGATGGATACAGAAAGGGGGCACAGGGGTATGGGATGGGGGGGGGGGGCTATGGAGTTGGGGGGGGGGGTGGAGCAGAGCGTGCATCACAGGTTTGATCTGAATCTGTATTCGCACCTGCCCCCTCACCAGCAGCCGTTGCCTGATGACATTGCGTGGGTGGCCCCCCCGTCTACCCTGGATCTGGCATGGGGGTCGACTCAGACGTCTTACGACACACCTGCCAGAGTGGACGAACGGGGTGGATGGACGATGCTGCGCACCCATTCGGGAGGCCCGCCTCGCATCGCCGCAATTCAGATTCTCGTGTCCCATGGGCCCAAAGGTCGCGGACACGATTATGTCCGGCAGAACTATGGGTCGGGCATTCAAAACCCGAAAAAAAAAAAGCATACAACGGAATCCGAGGCACCTGAAAGGTAAGTGCGCGTAAGTGTAGGGTTTTCGTAAGTGATTGTGGAACGAAAAACTGGGTAAGGGAAAATTAATCCATTTTCCGTCGTGAGGGCGCCCTTACAAAGTAAGGGTTTTGTAGTGGTGTCGAACGAGGCCCTAACTTAGATATATTCATGATCATGGTGCGCCGTGTTTGTGGCAATGGGAAGAGAATAGCGAGTTAGTGTTCGAATAGTTGACATGGCCTGGTTTTGTACCCAGGTCATTGAGCGATACATAGAAGTATAGGTGGTAGCTAGCTAGGTGAGAGCTCCTGGTTTTGTACCTTACCCATGTCATTGGGCTTATTTTGTCAAACAGAGCTGCCTGGTAAACTGTAGGCAGAGAGTGAGGGAGACGAGGACAAGAAACGAGGGGCTGTGACAAACTGTTTCGTCGGAGTTTCACCTACCGACTCATCAGGAGGCTGAATGTCATACGATAGGTGGTATAGCTTATATAGCCTTGTAGACCATTCGGCTGGTTGTCTTTTTTAAAGCACCAGTACATGGGCACCTGGGCCGCGGGCGTGACACGTAAAATTCTGGAAGCGCGAGATGAAAATGTGACCGCGGATCCAATTTATCAACGGTGGGCCCAGCGTTTGACGTTTAGGCCTTGTTTTCTTGTGGCGACAAGTTTTGGACTGCAAGGCTGGGGCTCCCGTGTACTGTTTAAAACGCTGGGCCCGTTTGATACTCCCATGAACAGGAAAAATACAGACCCATCTTCGAGTTCGGATGTGATCAGATGAACAGAATAAAATAATTCTGACTTACCTGGACTGGTCAGTTCAATGATGATATCTAAATGCCGCCGCCCTTTTGGAAAAGGAAGAAAAAGGGGGGGGGGGGGGGGAAGAAACAAAAAAGGGCTTTGGTCAGGTCACACTATCAGGACCTGGCCCGGCGGGACCACAGAACAACAAACTGGGCAGATGCAATGAATGTCGATGACCATGATGCAATGACCATATGATACATCTTGTCAATGTGTTTGTTTGCAGGTTTAGGGTTTAGGGTTTAGCATTTGAAATTTAAATACGTTTCTCTCTCTCGAAAGCGTTTTGCCGTTTCCTCGTGCGAAAAAAAAGAAAAAAAAATGTTTTGCGGTGTTCGCACAAGTTTGCAGTCATTTTGTCAAAATGGACATTTGTTATTTTTTGAACGCAATTGAAACGGAGTTTTTTGGCCGAAAACTCGTCCAAATTTGCTGCTCCTCCTGAGGGTTGGGCGTTCTTAAATCGCTGGACACCCTGGATGTATGTGGACTTAGCTTGAGACCAGATACATCCAGGGGGCAAAGCCTCAATCCCCTGGATGTATCTGTGGCAAGACTCAACTTTTGATTTATTAATAAAATAATAAAATAATAATAATTATATCAGTGGCAGGTCTGACAAGTCAGTGATTGTGGCGCTTGGCTGTTGTGGGTGGGGGATAGACGACGATGGCCGACAGGATGAAAGAGGAGGTTAGAGAGCATAAGCTATACGTTGGCAATCTCGATCATCGGCTCACCGAGTAAGAAGGCCGGCAGAAATGCTCAAGGCTGTCGCTAATCCCCGATTCCCCGTGCCGAACAACCACCCTTGTTTTTTTTTTTTTTTCTCTCGTGTTTCTTTTATGAAGTTTTATCATTCTCGTTTTGTTTTTCTTGTTTTTTTTTTTCTTGTTTTTTTTTTTCTGGATTGCTGTATTTTCTTTTTTGCATTAAACCACCACTACCTTTTCCCATGTGGGCCGCGGTCGGGCCCCCAAATGTTTAGGAGGCCGGAACGAAACGATGGCTGCGGATGAGATTTATCGACGGCTGCCATCATTGGGCCCGACCTCCGATTTTTTGGGAGAAATATATTTCATTATTTTCCCGTTTTTCCAAACAGCGGGAAAGGTAGTAGTGGTGCTTTAAGTTTTTTTTTTTGCCCCAGAAAGTCTGCAGTTTGCACCTTTGTTAATTGAAACCTCGAGAGGCCGAGAAGAGAATCTTTGAATTCTCAACAAGAGAGAAGTCAAGTTCAATGAACTTACTTCTCTGGACTGTCCAATGTCCCACACAGGGAATTGAGTGAAATTTTCTCTATGTTAGAAAAGATTTCACCTGTACCGCTTCTTGTCTTGTACCTCTGAGTATTGACTTTAAGATCCCCCACAGACAACCTGGAGCACTGGGGCCATTACTCGGAGCTTCAGCTTGTGCCGGAAACCGGGTACAGCGTCCCGTGCAGAGGCTCACTTCCCATAAGCAAAAAAAAAAACTGGATGAGGAAAGCTCGCAAAAGGAGGGATGTCTGTCCATCTGCGAGTTGTCATGGGAGTCAATGTTGCTGAATGGTACACGGATGTAAGTTCATGCAGCTCTTGATAAACAGATCAGAAGTTCAAATACTACTGCAGTAAGAAGGATCACTACATACATAACAATCGCTATTTCACAGCATGTGACCAGCAGCCAATCTGGGCCCTTGGTGTCCTTGGCGCCCCACAGTCCAGATTGGCTGCTGATCGTTTTCAATGTCATCAACTCGTGATCTGCACCGTCGTCGCGGTTCTACCGCACGGTCCAGATTGCTTGTTGATCTTTTTTTCTGGCCGGTAGCTGGGCCGATAGGCCCTGGCCCGGTAGTGCTGTGCGCGGTACTACGGGGCCAGGGCCTACCGGCCCTGCGCAAATTCGCACTCCTCAGGCCCCGGTAGTGCCGCGCGGCACCAGTGCAAATTCGCACTCGCAGGCCACGCTAGTGCCACGCTGGGCTGGTAGGCCCTAGGGTTGTAACAAACTTTTTTCAGGGAGGCGGCCGCAAATTTGCATTCCCATCTGGGCTTCGACTCTCTATGCCAGACTTCATCTCCCTACCTTCGACTATGTACCCTCAACTTTGCTACTCTCTCTCTCTCTCTCTCTCTCTCTCTCTCTCTCTCTCTCTCTCTCTGTGGGGAGAAGGGGAGGTGGAGGGTGCGTGACAACTCCACAATGGTCAGGGAAGTGGGGTAGGGTCGGCGCAAGGGCCAGGAGGATCAGCGCAGTGAGGGAGGAGGGTGGGCGTGGTGGCTGGGCGCAGTAGGGAGGGGAGGAGTGTGCAGTTGGGGAGTAGGGGAGGGGGTCGGTGCAGTGGGGGAGTTGGGTGGACGCTGTGGCTGGGCGCGGTGGGGGAGGCCAGTGGGCGCAGTCGGAAAAGGAGGGCGGGTAAGGTTGGGGAGGAGGTTGATAGCGGTATAGCAGGAGCGGAAAAGCGGAAGTGGGAGGGCCATGCGACGGAGAAGGGGAAGGGGAGGGGGAGGAGGGGGAGATGGGTGCTGTGCAATCAGACTCGTTCTCAAACACACTTTTCATGCATGTAAACAGCAACGCAGCATACTGGCGACATGCGCCCACTCAAAACTCAGAGATATGGCTTTCAGATACAAGTTCACTCTCAATTGGCTATGGCGACTTCAGCGCCCAAACATCTCACTGTTCACATACACTGGATCACCCTGGATATCCCACACGCGTCACTCTAACACTCGAACACACACACACACTCGCTACTAACTACAGCTATGGCAGCTATCACTGCGTCTAACCTATCGCTATGCTAACTCCCTCTCTCTTGCCCACTGCGTCCTCCGGGCTCATCTGCACACCTCCTTGCACAAGTCGCTGTGGCAGCGCTTCCGCATGGCTCACGCAGGAATGAAAGAATGGCTGGGCGCTGCCTCTTGATTTATACTTCAGAAACTCGTTGGTCTGCCCTTTGCCATCGGTCCTTGGTGCTCACAGTCCCCCCGTGGTACTTGCTGGACCGGACTGGGACTGACGGGACCTTCCGCTGACTGACTGTGGACTCACCGCTATCCTACCGACGTTGTACTGCTGTTGCACTGCGGTTTAGTCCACCACTTGCCTCGCCACTTGACCACTTGCCCACTTGCCTACCTTCTAGAAGGTCTACAGCTAAGCTTCCAGAACTCACTAGGACTTCTACGCTATAGACCTACAGATCGAACCCCTGCTGCCTATGCCCCTACGACAGACCTACCAACTGTCTGCGAATACACAGGTCACAGGTTCAATTCTCGGGATCTATGCAGATACTGTACATAGGTAGGGTGAGGTCTAGGGATAGAACCCTGGGTACTGCATCCGCTACTGCTAAAAGGTGAAAACCGTTTCAGCTGTGGGGGGAGAGAGAGAGAGAGAGAGAGAGAGAGAGAGAGAGAGAGAGAGAGAGAGAGAGCAGTTCTAGTCCAACTACCACCGACCCACCAAACCCTTCAACCTCTGAGCTTTTCAAGACAGAAAATCCTTCTCTATTGCAGGCGAAGCCGCAACAGGTAAGCTAGTAACAAGTTAATAAATGTAGGAACGATCCCCTTTTTTTTTTTTTTTTTTTTTTTTTTTTTTTTTTTTTTTTTTTTTTTTTTTTACGGCCCGCTTTTTTCTTCTTCTTTTACCTCTACTATTTTAAATGATCATTGGAGAAGTTCGAAACTTCAATCCCGATTAGGGCGGGGGCAACATGCATCTCCTTAATTGTGAGAGCTAGCTATGCTTGCAGGGTTCCCCTGTATATGCTTAGGAGTAGTGGTAGGTAGATAGTGAAAGGTGAAATTGAGGGCAGAATATCTGATTTGCACTTGGGACTTACTGGAGGCCTTGCACAAGGGCCTTATATATGTTAAAAAAAAAAAAAAAAAAAAAATTATTTTTCCTTTTTTTTTTTTTTTTTTTTTTTTTTTTTTTTTTTTTTTTTTTTTTCTGCAATGAATTGCAGTGCTATAAGCGGGCTGTATAGTAATTTTGTCCTTGGCGTCGTTGTCGGGACTTTATCCCGCAACCTTTGTTTGTTGTGTTGCCTGCTTGTTTGCTGTTTGTTTGTTTTGAGCCTTGCGGCACTTGATCCTGTGACCTGTAATCTGTGTGTTTTGTTTGTGACTGTTGAGCTGTATGGGACTTGATCCCTGAGTCGGTTACCAGTAGTCTCTGTTTGGTAATCCTAGGCCATTCGGCCTTTTCCTTTTGCTTTGTCATAGGTCTAGGTCTAGGTCCCCTTTCCCCCTGTTTCCATCTAGATACAGGTGAGTCTTGGGTTGTTGCTTGGGGAGTGCGTCGTAGGTCTAGGCAGAGGGTAGAAGTAGTGGGCAGGAAATTTGGGTCGGGTCTTTTCTCGTTGTTTCGGCTGGGGACTGGGGAAACTCTGCCCGTTCGTTGCCGTAGCGTTGCTGCGTTATGTTTGGGTGAGGGCATCTTCTTCCTCGAAGCCCAGCCATAGCTGGGGCTGGGGCACAAAGTTGGAGATTGCACTGCTGCTATTCAACAGTTCTGCACGAGAGCTTCATTAGGACTGTGTTGTTGGGTTTGGGCGCCGCCTTCCTACACTTGGCAGCCATATCTGCTGTTCCTCCTCATGAGGAACTGCGTTTTTCTCTTCTTCGAAGTGCTGGATCGGTTGTCTCCTTCTTCATCAGGACTTCCAGCGCTGCACTTCTGTGCAGGCGCTGAGCTGACGCTGCTATCATTGGGGGTGCTAGTTCAGATTGGCACGTTGTGACAGCTGTGAGGTTACTGCTGCTACGGCAGCCATAGACGGGTATGAGGTGGCGAGGAGGAAGAAGAAGACTCCCGCAGACTTCGTTGAACACTTGCTTTTGGTTGTTCGGGGATGTTGGAAACGTGGTTGTGATTCTTGGAGCAAGTACTTTGGATTGATTGGAGGAGGACGGGGGATTACAGAATTGAAATTCTTTTTTCAATTCTCTGTGTAGTTCGAGCTTCCGCTGTGCATATCTTCTCTCTGGTTTTGTGTGGATTTGCCTCCTTCGAGTCTACTCTGCAATTGCATGTGTGTATGGGAACGTGTGAATTCGTTGTGGATTAAAGTTCAATCGGGTACATAACAAGTCGCTATTGACAGTTCTTTGTTTTTTTTGTTTATTGGCTTAACTAATGAATCATTGAAATGTTTGGTCAGTGATTCAAACTTCGAAGAGGAATTCTCTCTGGTTTCGCACTTAAACGCTCATCACCTAGATCCCTTCCTGGCGTTCCCGCAATCCTGGATCCTTAAGCTCTAGTCCAAAGTTTCAATTTTGCTTGGGTACATTTTTTGGCAGGAGATGGGAAGTGAAACAGTGGAAAATTATTTTTCAAAAATACCACATGACACGGCGATGTTAATATAGAAAAAAATTCAAAAAAAAAAAAAAAAAAAAACTGTTGACATCTCTTATCTAGGTCCTCTCTCATTTCTACCTAGTAACTCACGAGACTGGCCGTGGGAATGCTCAGCCCTTGGGCCCTTGGGCCCATGCTTTTGTGGGAAGTGTCTGCACTCAAATATAACATACGGTCAGTATAGCCGAATTTGGGACAGCTTTCAGTCTAGATACAGCAACAATGACTGCGTTTTCTTATGTGTCATATGAGCCATTTTTCCTTTTCCGTTTTGCAAGGCATTTTTGGGGAAAGGGGGAAGGAGCATGCAGTCTTTATTCTATTTTGGCCGCGATGAGGGGTCCTACGTGCTTTGGTGTCACTTCTT